CCTTACCTCTCAGACCCAGGCAAGAAAGCCCCCTGCCCCAAACTTAATGTTTTAGAAGGCATCATATAATATAACCACAAAGGAAATAAATCCATTAAAAAGACAGAGATGCCTCTGTCCCTTGGGATTCTGTGCTCAGCACTGGCACAGAACAACCAGTAACACTGAACACACATTACTGAGTCTAATACAGTTCAGACCCCGGGGGTCAATTCTTTATATATCTTGCCCTGTCTTATTCATTTAAGTTGATAGATAAACATTGTATGTATTTACTGTGTTCTTGATATTTTGAAATATGTATACATTAAAAATATGGAGTGCTTCACATATTTTTGTGTTATCCTTGTGTGGTTGTGTTGTTTTAATTGGAAATTTGTATTGTTCCAGTTTTAGTGTATGTGCTACCTAAGCAAACACACTCTATGTCTTTAAAAAAAGAAAGGTAACTGTGTCTGGATGCCCTGAAGGTTTGTGGGTTGTATCAGTGTGAACTTTGGAGGCCACTGTGGTTTTGGAGTGTAGGCAGGAATTGAGCTGTCCAAGTGCTTAGCTAAGAGAAAAGAAAATTAACCTGTCAAATCCTTCCTTTTAGATAGCATGACTGTAGTGGATTCCTTTTTTCTGAGACAGTCTCGCTCTATTGCCCAGCCTGGGGTGCAGTGGTGTGATCTCAGCACACTGCACACTGCACACTGCTTGAACCTCTGCCTCCCCGATTCAAGCAATTCTTGTGCCTCAGCCTCCTGAATAGCTGGGATTACAGGCGCATGCCACCACACCCAGCTAATTTTTGTATTTTTATTAGAGATGGGGTTTCACCATGTTGGTCAGGCTGGTCTCAAACTCCTGACTTCAAGTGATTCATCCGCCTCAACCTCCCAAAGTACTGGGATTACAAGCGTGAGCCACTGCGCCCTGCCTATAGTGGATTTTTTTTTCTTTTTTTTCTGAGACAGAGTCTTGCTCTGTTGCCCAGTCTGGAGTACAGTGGTCATCTCGGCTCACCGCAACCTCTGCCTCCTGGGTTCAAGCGATTCTCCTGCCTCAGCCTCCCAAGTAGCTGGAATTAAAGGCGCCTGCTACCACGCCCAGCTAATTTTTGTATTTTTAGTAGAGACAGGGTCTTGCTATGTTGGTGAGGCTGGTCTCAAACTCTGACCTCAGGTCAGATCCACCTGCCTTGGCCTCCCAAAGTGCTGGGACTACAGGCATAAGCCACTGCGCTTGGCTGTGTAGTGAATTCTCGCGTGACATATTATCTACCAGTAGTGCTGAGTGTCCATTTTCTTTCTCTGTTTTATGTTCCACTTTCTGGTTCTGGAGGTACCCATGAATTAGTGTAGTGTTTGCAACATTGCACGTTGGTGCTAAGAAACATTTTGTAGTAATAAATAATTTATATTATTCTTAAATTTTTATATTTGTACCTCTAGATACAACATGTTAAACATGATACTGATTCTTTTTATTTCTTAAATTTTTATATTTGTACCTCTAGATACAACATGTTAAACATGATACTGATTCTTTTTATTGACATTAGATGGACACTGAATATTAGAATTGCAAGTAGGTTTGTTTTTATAAAATATTTAATTAGGCCAGATGCAGTGGCTAAACCTGTAATCCCAGCACTTTGGGAGGCCTGAAGTAGGATGATCGCTTGAGCCCAGGAGTTTGAGACCAGTCTCAGCAACACAGTGAGACTCTATCTCTACAAAAAAAATAGAAAAAAAAAAGCCAGGTGTGGTGACATGCACCAGTGGTCCTAGCTTTTCAGGAGGCTGAAGTGGGAGGATCTCTTAAGCCTGGGAATTTGAGGCTGCAGTGTCATGATCTTGCCACTGCACTCCATCCTGGGTGACAGAGCAAGACCCCCTCTCAAGAAACAACAACAACAACAAAAACCAACCCTCTTTGATTAGATTTGAATTTTCAAAAAAAAAAAATTTAATGAAATGTTCAGCTCTCAAGTAGGAACTTTGTCTCCTATGATCTTCCTTGGATAAAAGGAATACCGGGTTTAGGATGGCCATGTTTTTAGCAACCCAGATTCACAATCAAAGGATTCCAGCCAAACTTTCTTTTCCCATTCTCTTTGCGTATGAATATTTTGTCTTCCTTCTCACCTCAGGCAGTGAGGTGTAAAAAGCTTGAGCTAAGTCCTTGATAAGGGTGTAGGATGTACCTATGATTATCTGTTGGAGCTCTTTCATTGCGGGATTTGGAAAGTGGTAGATGGATGGGGATGGGGTGGTGGAAAGTCACCGATTTGTTGCCTTATTCCATCCAGAGTCTTTTCGTTTGTTTTTTGAGCTGGTGGTCTCACCCTATCACTCAGGCTAGTCTTGAACTGCTGCCCTCAAGCGATCCTCCTGCCTCCACCTCGTAAAGTGCTGGGATTACAGGTGAGAGCTACTGCGCCAAGCCCTAACAAGTCTCGAGGCTGCTGTTGTTCCAGCCAGGCTGGGGACTTTGAACTGCTCTCTTGAGAAGCCTTCAGGGACCACCGGGCTGTAATGCATGCGTTCTCAGAGCCAGGATTTGTAGCAGTTCCCTCTCATGGGCTTCCTACCCGCTCTGGGGCTTTTTTTTTCTACAGCTGGAAGAGGGTAGTGAGACTAGAGGAGGGGAGGGTCTGCTGTTCACTCTTCTCCCAGTTACTGTATGATCATTAGAGACCTGGTTGTTCCCAAACTCAGAGAAAAGGGAAAAGAGCTGAACCCAGAAGCTGGGGGTGGGGCTGGTAAGAAATGCTGCAGACAGTGGGAGAGGTGTGAATAGGGAGAGTTCAGCCAGAGGAATACAGAGAGCTAGAGCTAAGAACCAAGTCCAACAGTAGAATAGCCTTTGTCTTTGACATCTCTCTGGGTCAGAACGAATGAGCCACATACCACAGGTTCTTGAGGCAGGCAGCACGGTGCAACTGAAGAAGTACTGGACTTGGGATTTTTGACCTGCATTTCAATTCTGGGGCTGCCCCATAAGAACGCTGTCAAATGACTTCTCTGAGTCTCAGTTTCGGTACTTTTAGCACAGGCTTTGGATTCAGATAGACTCAGCTCCTGGCACCTGCATGACCTTGGACAAGTTATTTAACCTAAGAGTCTCAGTGGCCTCATCTGTAAAATGAACAGTAACACCTTAGAGTTGTTGCGATGAGTAAATAAGATAATTTTTGGGAAGTAGATTCTATTGGTTACGTAGGATTGCAGAATAACAGTGAGTTTGGAGCCAGGTGACATAGACTTGAGCCAACTGCCTGCAGCTAGATGCGTAGCCTCTCTGAGAACCAATTCCTCCCCTGGAAGGAGTAACAATGCCTTCTTCGCAGGGTTCTTGTGGGGCTCTGCTGAGATAAGATGTATGAAAGCACTCTGTACAGCTCTGTACAAATGTGAAGGATTATTTTTGTTCTTCAGCTCGCCCTCTAACAAAGGCTGAATAAGTACTGAATTGGCCAAAAAAGGGAGGGCAAAGGAAGGAATGTGAATCTTAGGGGGAGTAGCAAAAAAGCTGGAATAATCCCCACACTGTGGTTCCAACACTTTTCATGAAGCCCGAGCTCCAAGGAACAGTACACATCCAGGGAGGGAGGTGAGAAACTGGGGGCTCAAGGGAGAAGGGGGTTATGAGGAGAGGGAGAAGGAGCCCACTGCTGTCAAAGCCCAGGAGGACATGGAAGGTCCTTGCCTGGTGAGGAAAAGAAGAGGGTGTCCCTTGAGTCCCAGCTCCTCTCAAGAGGATCACAGATTCTCTTGTGATCCAGAAAGCACAGCTTCCAGCTTTGAGCCAAGAAATGCTGCCTTCCAATGCCCCCCACCTGGCAGCTACTGAGCAGATTCAAACATGCTCAGGGTTGGAGCCCAGAGAAAAAAGACAGGAATTCTGCTGTCCCCAGTGGAGGCTAGTTTGTGCCTCCTCATACCCCACCAGACAGCGCAGAGCCCCTCAAGCCAGCCTCCCCCTCCTCCTCCACCCTAATGCCCTCCACTTTCCCTTGATCTGCCTGAACCAGGACATGATGCCAGGGCCACGGCCCTGCTGGTCCTTAGCTCCGAGCGCCCTTCCCTTGGGAGCTTAGCCCATCGGATGTGCCAGGGAAATGTTTCCACAGATTAGTGCCTCCTGGGGTGAGACAGTAGCAGCAGGTGGCAGGAACAGGGCAGGGAGGGAACAAAGCCCAGGGAGCCCTTGGGAGGAGCCCAAGGACAGAGGCTTTCTTTTCCAGTCTCTGGCCTCCAGAACCAGGAGGTTTGGGGTTTCTCCAAAGCCCCCGCCTCAGTTTCACCCCTCAGTATCCAGCTGGTGATGGACAGATCACTTTATTTGACTGATTTATTTTTTTATTTTTTTTTATTTTTTTTATTTTTTTTTGAGACGGAGTCTGGCTCTGTCGCCCAGGCTGGAGTGCAGTGGCCGGATCTCAGCTCACTGCAAGCTCCGCCCCCCGGGTTTACGCCATTGTCCTGCCTCAGCCTCCCGAGTAGCTGGGACTACAGGCGCCTGCCGCCTCGCCCGGCTAGTTTTTTTTTGTATTTTTTAGTAGAGACGGGGTTTCACCGTGTTCGCCAGGATGGTCTCGATCTCCTGACCTCGTGATCCGCCCGTCTCGGCCTCCCAAAGTGCTGGGATTACAGGCTTGAGCCACCGCGCCCGGCCTATTTGACTGATTGTGGTGACAATTATGGTAGTATCACAGTTTGGGTAAGTCCAGGTCCAGAAGTAGAATAAATTGGAGAGTAAGGGGAGAGATGCAGGGGAGAGAAGAGCGATGAAGATACAGCTCACAAGTCCAAGAAGAGAGGGGAATAAAAGGGGAAAGAAAGTTCTAGCAAGAAGAAATATATAAGCTCTGGAGAAAGCATCCCAGCAACAGTGCCCTAAATTAAAGACTCCTATCAGATAACACCTGGTTGAGATTTCTCAAATCTACATTTGCTAAGCCAAGCCTGGAGGGTGAAGCAGTGAAATAACCAGCATAAGACAGATAAGGGACAAGAAGGCAGCAAATGCCAGTGGATCAAAGGATGCAGATATCAGGAGGAAGGGAGAAGCCAGATTTCTGCTGACTTTACCTTACCCCTGGCCTTGTTCTTGGGTGAGTTTAAGAGTGAGCAAGACAGATGGGCAATGTTTTACAATGTGGTTTTAATCAAAAGTTTCATCAACACTGGCTTTCCCCCTTGGGTTAGCCCTGGCCCGGGGTCGGGCATGCCTAACCCAGCAGGCCCCTTGACCTCACAGTTTGTGCAGGTGAGAAACTGGCTCCTGGTCTGTGTCAGCATTCTGTATCAACTCAAAGATGAATTTCACTTGGTTCTCATAGCCTTGGACTGAGATTTTCTCATTGACTCCATGGAAGCTGAGGAAAGTAAGATGTATTTAGGGAAGGAGGGGAGGGCCAAGTGTCACAGCACAAGTGTTACTATAGAGCACTTTCCTTACTCCCCTCACCAACCCGGAAACTACTGGCCCTCCAGGGCTAGGAAAGGGAGGGACAAGGGAGGGGGCATCTGAGATTTCATATGACACATTGGTTGTTTCTCAGGGATCCATCCATGCTCATGACAAAGAACAGTGTGGAATAAACTCTTGGGGAGTCCAAAATAATCTCCTGCTGTGAAATCCACTCAATAATTTGTCCTCCAGGAGAATTATCTTTTTTTTTTTGAGACAGGTTCTCACTCTGTAGCCCAGGCTAGAGTGCAGGGGTACAATCACAGCTCACTGCAGCCTCAACCTCCTGGGTTCCAGTGATCCTCCCACCTCAGCTCCTGAGTAGCTGGGACCACAGGCGTGTGGCTAATTTTTTTATTTTTTAATTTTTTTTGAAGAGATGGAGTCTTGTTAGGTTGCCCAGGCTGGTCTCAAACTTCTGGGCTCAAGTGATCCTCCTGCCTCAGCCTCCCAAAGTATTGGGATTATAGGTGTGAGCCACCACACTTGACTGAGAACTATCTTTCCAATTCTCTTTCTCTTAGGACAGAGTACCTAGCTAGACTATCTCTAAGCCAGTCCCCTACTCTCCCACTAGAGGGTAGAGAAGGCAACTGCCCAGGGTACCTACCCAGTTTTCTGTGGCACCTAGGAACTTTACTATCAGACCTTACACCCACCAACCTGCCTCCCCACAGTGAAACAAAACAGAGCAAAACAAAACAAACAACCACCAAACTACATATGTAATCTCAAAGATAAAAGGAAACAGAGTACCTATCCATCTCCCATTTAAAAAACAAAAAAAGAAAGCTGTTCTTAAACTCTTATTCAAATATTTTCACTCTGTCTACAGAGGACTTAAGATGGGGAGACCAGGTCTGGATATGATAAGTAGCAGAGAGGTAAATGGAAATCGTCCTCCCATACCCGAGGATTAAAAATGTGCTGAAGAACCCACAAAAATAGTAATTCACACAGAGCAGTTAAAATTGGTGCTCACATCGTGGATTTCCATAGTGCTTTCTTCTGAGGAATCAAAACATGCACCCACCTTTGACCTCATATGTGGTCTGCATTTCACAAAATGCTGAGGAGTCTCCCCATTTTGTAAGTGGAGGAAACGGGGTCCAGAGGATAAGCCCTCTCCCAAAGACAGGAAGAGCTGGGATTAGCACCCAAGGGTACGGATTCCACCAGCTTCTCCCCAATCACCCAATTATCTCCATCTTTATAAAAGAGGGGCCAATTTCCATAAATTCTAGGGGGTGACAATGAGACTCTGGCAGTAAGGACGGTAGATGGGTTAGGTTCTACAATGTCTCCATTTCATTTTGCCAAATCCCGGCTTCCCCCCGCCCTGATTCTGTGGACTGTCAGGAGCACGGGGTGGGAAAGAGACACGTCAAGTGTGTTTCTTTTCTCCCACCTGCTGCTCAAACCTGTTCCACTCACCGTTTTAAGTCTTCAGGCTGTAGATAGTAGGGATTGAACCTGTAGATGCCAGTGGTGAGGTTTGTAAAGAATCGGCTGTCTGTGTTGCCAAGAGAAGTACCTAGAGAGGGAAGATTAACAGGAAAGGGGCTTTACATGAGCAACCAAACCAACAAAGTGGCTGGGGTGTGGCCTGGCTGGAAAATTAGGATTACTGGGTCGTTACAGAGCAATGCCTGGGCTCTCTTGAAAGCCTATAGCTATCCTTACAAAACGCACCATTTCAGCCAGGAACATGGAATCTCCTTCCAAGGGCATTGGTGAGACATCCCTTGGATGGACCATTCAAGGGATGTCTCACCAATGCCCTTGGAAGTGTCCTCTCCCTGTGATGACCAGGGAGGCCAATATCTTCATACCCAAGGCCATGGCCATTTGCTATTCCCCATGATGACCAGGGAGGCCAATATCTTCATTTCATACCCAAGGCCATGGCCATTTGCTATTTAAGAAACGAGAAACTAGATAGCACTTCTTTATCACCTGACCTTTATTCTGTATCACTCTAGGTCAAAAATAAATACCCTCTGGGAGAACTTTACTACTATAAAATATAACCCTCTTGAATTGGAACAAAATTTCCTATTTATTCTCATTCTCTGAAGGATGACTCTGTCTTCCTAGGGTCAAACGTTAGATCTGGAAAGTGCCAGGATACACTTTCCAGTTTCCCACTCTCCTGAAGGTGGTAGCAGGTCACCTGGCAGGGGCTGGGACTTGTGCCCCTAGGTGTGTTCTTTGGGAAAAGAACTCAAGTGTGTGGGGTGATTTGAGACAGTAATTTGTGTTTTCTTCCATCTTCCACTCCTGGTTTCAAATGGACATCCAGGCCCTTCACAGTTCCTTGCTTTGTGGTTGATTTCTGCCTGTCTTTTTTCTGTAAAAGCCTGGCCCCATTAGTGGATTACAGTAAGTGCTCCAGAAGAAAGAGAATAGAGTAGGTAGCCTTTAAGGGCCAAGGGAGGAGAATCTGGAACTGTGAAGGCCGGGTTCCTGGATGTTTGGAGGAATCTCAGATTAGACCAAGAGAAAAGAAAACTAGACACGGGTCTTAATATTAGAGCATTAATAATTAAGCAATATCATTATTATTGAGCAATGTCTTTTTTCCTTTTTTTTTGACAGAGTCTTGCTCTGTCCCCCAGGCTGGAGTGCAGTGGTGCTGTCTCGGCTCACTGGAATCTCTGCCTCCTGGGTTCAAGTGATTCTCCTGCCTTATCCTCCCAAGTAGCTGGGACTACAGGTGCCCACCACCAGGCCCAGCTAATTTTTGTATTTTTAGTAGAGACGAGGTTTCACCATATTGGTCAGGCTGTTCTCGAACTCCTGACCTTGTGATCCACCCGCCTCAGCCTCCCAAAGTGCTGGGATTACACGTGTGAGCCACCACGCCTGGCCAAGCAATGTCTTAATATTAGAGCAATAACCATTGACCAGAGATTCTCAAACTATGGTTAGTCATCACTTTGTGTCAGAATCTCCTGTGGATATTTGTGAAAAAGGCAAATTCCAGGGTCCCTTCCAGATTTGGTTAACCCAAATCTTTGCAGTGAGTCCAGGTAATCTGCATTTTAATAGTTCCCTGGGGAGACCTCTTCCACTCTTAGATTGGAGAACCACTGTCTGCAAAGCATAGATTTGGATGGTGTGCTAGAAGGCTGCAGAAGGGGTACAGGTACAGAGGAGTGCTGCTGGGATTGATCTGGGCTGGGAAGCGTAAATTAGGTTAAGGCAAATGGTATGGGCTGGGAGGCTTTTCTGAGCTAAAGATTCTGAGCTTTGCTGCTGAGCTGTTATCCTAGAATGGATCAGAACCAGACTCTGGGAAAATCTTGGCCCCTTCTGTGACTCGTAGAGAGGAGGGAGTAGTCTAAGCCAATTCTCCCCTCTATGCCAGAGTGGCTGGCCTAGGTTAAGCAAGGACCCAGGCTTGACTGACCTAATATATTGTTTCTGCTCCTTTCCTGTTTGCGTTTTCACTTCCACTCTGAAGGGAAAATACAGTTCTAGTCTCATCAGGAGGGGAAGCAGCCAGCTGTTTACAGGCTGAACATCTGGGGTAGGGGTGGGGAAGTAGACATTGGATAGGAAACAGTTCCAGCCCCCTCCTCCCTCCAGCCACAGCTGATGAAGTCATTACCTGGGATAGTAATATTGACTTCCGGGAAGACGGACTGTATGGTCTGGCGGAGCAGCTGGTAGCCCAAGGCCTTGTCATCATAAGGGCTGATGGGGAGGGGGTCAAAGGCAGTCATCACATGGAACTGGACTCTGTTATCAGCCACAATGTTCTTTGTGAGTTCTAGGACCTCCAGGGTAGAAACAAAGGGGGTTTGATTTCTTATTGATTTCTATATATGTACAATATGAGCTTAAATATTCTGATTTCTTTCCAGCAAGGCAGAGCCCGGGGGTTTACAGACAGGACTCATTTTTTTAAACATTGGGACTTCAATTTCAGCTGACTGGCTAAAGGTGATATAAGAGTTGGGTCTTCCTGGAAAGCAATCTATAGCATGATAGATTTAGGTTAAATGTTTTGGGAGACTTGTCTTACAGTCATGAATCAGATCTTGAATAGGAACAAATTTACATGAGCAACCAAACTAACGAAGTGGCAGGGGGGTGGCCTGGCTGGAAAATTGGGACTACTGGGTCACTATAGAGCAATGCCTGGGCTCTCTTGAAAGCCTATAGCTATCCTTACAAAAAGCACCATTTCAGCCAGGAGCATGGAATCTCCTTCAAAGGGCATTGGTGAGACATCCCTTGGATGAAAAATTGGATGGGAATTGGAAAATCAGGAAGTTATGTATCTTTCCCCTTGGGTGGTGAGCCACAGGCTGGTTGAAAGTGTTGAAGAGACAGCAGAATGTCAATCATCCCCAGGCTGGGGAATAGACGTGATGACCTGGCTTCAGCCTCGGAGAATCTCAGACAGGTGATAAAAGGGTCACACACTTTTCTTTCCCCTCTCTGGGCATTCCTGCTTCCTGTTTGTAACCAGCTGCACTGGAACCAGGAAGATGAGCTCAACACAGACAAAAAGTCAGAAGTTGTGATACGGGTATTCAAGTTTTCTCTTTGCCTCCTTTCCTCGGGAAAGAACCTGAGGAAACTCCTAGAAAATTCAGTCTGAAACGAATAGAGTAAATCCAGAAAAATTCCTGTCCCCAGTCAGGAAGTAGACCAGACCCCGAGGATTAGGTCACATAGAGCCATGTGGGAATGGACCAGGAGACTGACTTAGAGGGACCTTTGCTCTCCAAAGCTCCAGCACTAGTCCCAAACCATTTGTTCAGTAGTTGCTTTAAAACTGCCTCTGCTCTAGAAAGGGGGGGTTGTCCCATAGCTGCAGATCACCCGAACGTGGGACATTATCTTAAGAGTACCTCTTTTTTTTTTTTTTTTTTGAGACAGAATCTCACTCTGTCACCCAGACCAGAGTGCAGTGGCACAATCTTGGCTCACTGCAACCTCCACCTCCCAGGTTCAAGTGATTCTCCTGCCTCAGCCTCCTGAGTAGCTGGGATTATAGGCATGTATCACCACGTCTGGCTAATTTTTGTATTTTTAGTAGACACGGGGGTTTCACCATGTTGGTCAGGCTAGTCTTGAACTCCTGACCTCAAGTGATCTGCCCACCTTGGCCTCCCAAACTGTTGGGATTACAGGTGTGAGCCATCATGGCTGGCCAAGAGTACCTCTTTTTTTTTTGAGACAGAGTCTCACTGTGTCGCCCAGGCTGGAGTGCAGTGGCACCATCTCGGCTCACTGCAATCTCTACCTCCTGGATTCAAGCAATTCTTCTGTCTCAGCCTCCCAAGTAGCTGGGACTACAGGCATGCACCACTATGTGCAGCTAATTTTTGTACTTTTAGTAGAGACGGGTTTTTGCCATGTTGGCCAGGCTGGTCTTGAAACTCCTGACCTCAGGTGATCCACCTGCCTTGGTCTCCCAAAGTGCTAGGATTACAGGTGTGAGCCACCATGCCCTGTCCCAAGAGTACCTCTTTTATGCCAGAAGAATGTTAGGAGTTGAGTCTGGAGAGGAAGTGAAGGTTCCCACTTCTGGCTTAGAAACCACCATTTGAATCAAAACAAGTATCCTGCTATTGGATGGGCAAAGGGGTCACCAAGGTGTATTCTCACTTCTCAGACCATATTTTCACTCCAGCACTTATAATACAAATATTCTAATACAAGAATTAGTGCACGGTCTTGACATATTCTCAGCCCATTGGCAAGTTTCTGAAGTCAGCCTCCATGAGGTGGGTTGGGACTATGCCCACTGCTCCAAATTCCTTAGAGGGTCCTCCAGAAATCAAAGAAGGCATGCAGAATGGATCCCTTCAGTAAGAGGCTGCAAGAGCTCAGGTTTCCCACTAGCTGTTAGGCCAGGCAGGGACTGTGTCTGACTCAGGGGCAGGGACTGTCTATCTCATTTCCACATTTCCAGTAGCAAGCACATAAAAGGCATGCAATAAATCTTGGATACATAAAATTTAAAAGATGTAAACTAATAAAAATAAGAATAGGCGTTGATTCATTAAATAACTTGCCATGGGTTATATAGTCAGTTTTGTCAGGTCGGGTATCTGTCTGACTTTATGGGAATAATGCTTTACTGCTTCCTAAGTACATACAGTTAGAGATGGTGTGGAGTAGAACCTGAGAGGAGGCATTCATCTGAGACAGACTCTTTAGTGGTATGAATGTTTAGCCCAAGTTTCAAGGAAGGATATGAAACTGACAGAGATGAGGAAACAGATCGTCTGAGCATGGAGAGGGGCAGGCACAAAAATTGAGATGTAACAACCAACTTTGTGCTTCAGACAGTCACTCACAGTTGTGTGAGCTTGGACAAGCTTCTTAACCTCTCTGTGCCTCAGCCTGCCTATCTGTTAACATGTAGATGATGGTAGCACCTACCTCATAAGTGGTGGTGACCGTTACTGGAGTTAATATGTGTAATGTGCTTAGGGCAGTGCCTGGCATATGGTAAGCACTCAAAAAATGCTAGCTGTTATTTGCTTGTTTAGAATAGAGGGACCACCTTGGGCAAGAATCAGAGGTACAAGAATGGAACTAGGAGGAGAGAGATGTTGTCAATGGTGAGAGATCTCAAAGGTGACTTTAGAGCACATGAATCTCTCATTTCTCTGATCTCCTGTAGTTCTTTTTTTTTTTTTGAGACAGAGTCTCGCTCTGTCACCCAGTCTGGAGTGCAATGACGTGATCTTGGCTCGCTGCAACCTCTGCCTCCTGGGTTCAGGTGATTCTCCTGCCTCAGCCTCCTGAGTAGCGGGATTACAGGTGTTCACCACCATGCCCAGCTAATTTTTGTATTTTTGTAGAGATGGAGTTTCACCATGTTGGTCAGGCTGGTCTCGAACTCCTGACCTTGTGATCCGCCCGGCTCAGCCTCCCAAAGTGCTGGGATTACAGGCGTGAGCCACCGCACCCGGCCCAGATCTCCTGTAGTTCTTACAGTGCATTCCCACAACCTTATGTTGCTCTCTGTTTTATGTGTAAAGATATTTTCCTGTAAGTGAATGGTACAGCTGTTGAAGGCAAGGACAATGGATACTTAAAAACAGGTAAGGTCTTTAGAGTTAGCAAGTCCAGCTTCTGTCCTGCTGTAAGGCTGCTCATTAGAAAACTCATGACAGGTTGTCATCCCATCTGCTGGAATATTTCCAGTGGCAGAAAGCTCATCACTGCATGCTATACACCATTCCATTTTTGAGCATTTCAGTTATAAATGCCTTCCTTATAATGAACTCAGATACGGTGTCTTGTAATATCTAATCCCTCTCCTTCTTTTTTGAGACAGGGTCTTGCTCTGTCACCTAGGTTGGAATGCAGTGGTGTGATCATAGCTCACTGTAACTTCCAACTTCTGAGATCAAGAGATCCTCCTGCCTTAGCCTCCTGTGAGTAGCTGGGAGTATAGGAGTGTGCCTGCTTAACATTTATTTTTATTTGTAGAGATAGGGTCTCGCTGTGTTGTCCAGGCTGGTCTTGAACTCCTGGCCTCAAGCAATCCTCTGGCCTCAGCCTCCCAAAGCACTGGGATTGCAGGTATGAGCCACTGTGCCTGGCCCTGCCTCTCCTTTTTTTGATAATGAATATACTCCAGCCTCATTCCAACTCCATGCCCTTTCCAAGGGCTGTTTTCCACCCAGCTGGGGCTTTCATCTCCCCAGGTCCTGGCACTCTTCCCTCCTCTCTATTCCCCTGCCACAGTGACCTTCCTTCCGGTCTCTCTGATGAAACCCCTGGAATCCCTAGTTCCATCCTGCCCACGTGCTGGAATGGAAAGCCTCCATATTCAGAAGCTTGTGGGTGCATTTGTCCTGGTTACTCCTCTCCCTTGGGCCCCATTTCCATGCATCAGGAACACTCCCTGCTGCACACCCTGTACACAGAGCCTCGGGCTGCATCCAGCAGGAACACAGGCCGCCCCCAGAGTTGTCTTGCTCCATGGTGAGCACCTGTAATCCCACTACTCAGGAGACTGAGGCAGGAGAATCACCTGAACCCAGGAGGTGGAGGTTGCAGCGAGCCGAGATCCATTGCACTCCAGCCTGGGTGACAGAGCGAGACTCTGTCTCAACATACTCTAGTAATATAGTACTAAACTCATCATAAACACTCAGCAGAATCTTACCTGTCGAAATTAGAGGGCATCTGTACTGTTCCCCACTTTGTGCTCTTGCTGCCTGGATGCTATTGCCAGGTCTTTGCTCCTCCTCAGAGAGGGCTTCACTGACCACTGCATTTAAAGGAGCTCACTGCTCTACCCCTGCCCCAAAATTACTCTGTGACACAGCATCCTATTATTTTCTTTGTGGCATTTACCACTTAAAAAAAATCTCCTTGCTTACTGCTGTCTCTTCACTAGAACGTAAGCACCATTAGAATGGGAATCTTGTCTGTCTTGTTCACCATTCTCCCAAATGCTTAGAAGAATGTCCAGTCCACAGTAGCTACCAATAGACACTTGAATGAATAAATGAAGGAAGAAAGGAAAGAATCTTCTCTACAACACTCTTATTCCACCCTTTTAGTGATGAGGAGCACAATTACAGTCCAAGATAGCACATTCCAAAACTCTCCCTCAAGTGGAGACTCTCTTAAACATCTCCCATTGGCCTCTCTACACCTTCAGGCCCATTCAGGACACACCTTCCTTTCCACATGGCAACCTCTTGGATTTCTGAAGGTTCTGTTCCTCACAGCTAGGTGCTGGAGACCTACCTACAACTGAAGTTGAATATGGAGCAAGAGAACTCTGGGGGCGGCCTGTGTTCCTGCTGGATGCAGCCCGAGGCTCTGTGTACAGGGTGTGCAGCCGGGAGTGTTCCTGATGCATGGAAATGGGGCCCGAGGGAGAGGAGTAACCAGGACAAATGCACCCACAAGCTTTTTGAATATGGAGGCTTTCCATTCCTCACTGCAGCACGTGGGCAGGATGGACCTAGGGATTCCAGGGGTTTCATCAGAGAGACCGGAAGGAAGGTCACTGTGGCAGGGGAATAGAGAGGAGGGAAGAGTGCCAGGACCTGGGGAGATGAAAGCCCCAGCTGGGTGGAAAACAGCCCTTGGAAAGGGCATGGAGTTGGAATGAGGCTGGAAAAAAAACTGGTGGAAAGAAGCTCAATGAGGGGAATTCAGTGATTTCCTGGCCCCATGAGACCCCAGGGAGAGGACAAAGGTTGGCACCTGATGAAAGGCAGGAGAACCCAGGGCTCACATTGGTCTTAACTCCCCCACACTCCCCCGACCCCCTTCAATGGTGTGTGGCTCTGGGCAGGATGTCGATCTGCTCCCCGCTCTACAATAGGGAGTGTGCCTCTCTCCTTGCATGAGGGCAAGTAAAGTCCTCTCTGGGGAAGAACTTAGGAGAAAGGACCGTAGAAGTCCAAGTGCCACTGACCCTTGATGATCTGTGCCACAGAACTGCCCCTAACCCTGGTGTATTCTGGAATGTATAACTCATCTGATAGTCACTGGGTTGCCTTTTTGGATCTTTTTTTTTTCTGAAGCATCAGGTTTACCTTTTGAATTCCTTTTGCTCAGTCTGATGTTTAAATAAGCTGGCATTTACTGTGGATGTCAGACATTCTGTGTAACTTCTACTCACCCTTCGGCTTTCAGCTTAAACATCACTGCCTTAGGAAGTCCTGCCTGATTCCCAGATGGGGTCTGGTTCCTTGTTATATTCTCTAACAAGCACCAGGTTCCTCTTCATTATAGCACTCATCGTGGTTTGCAATTATACATTCATTTTTAAATTGATGTTTGTAGCAGACCATTGCAAGGCTCTGGCCTCAACTCTTTTCTCTCTTAGCTCTCTGCACCTTCTTCCCATGGGCTTTTATTCAATCTAGAGGTTCCCATGATGTGAGTGACACTCCAGCCGCATCTCTAGTTCATATCTCTCTCCAGACCTGAAGTATTTATAATTGCCTATTTCCTATGTTACAAGTTTCTCAAACTTCCAAACTATGATATTCTTGAACTTGTTTTTATTTCTGACTTTCCAATCTTAGTGAAAGGCATTAACTACTTGGTCAACTACCCAGGTGAAAAACCTTGGAGCCATCCTGCTTTTCTCTCACTCCACACCCATATACATACCACATCCTATTGAACCCACCTCTGTCCCACCTCTGGTGGGTGCCCTCTTCTCCACCCCATGACCATGGCCTCAGTCCAGACCTTCACATGCACTACCTAAGATGCTGCAATAGCTCCCTGTCTCCTTCTCCCCCAGCACTCCCTCTTCAATGCTGCTAGCATGACCTCTCTAAAAGCAAATCTGAGTATTTGATTGAAGACGTCTAAAAGTTCTCTCCTGTCACAGATTTCACAGATTAGGACCCAAACTCCTCAGCATAGCATACAAGGCCCAGATCTCTAAACTACAACTTCATTTCCTATCAGTTTTCATCTCCTATTACTTGTCCCCAATTTATCCTATTCCTTAAGCCACAATGAATGTCTTACTTCTAGCCAAGTTCTGTTTGTCCTCTAAGGCTTGGTTCAAAATTTTGGTAGTCAGAAGAGACTTTTTTGACCCTAAGAAGTAGCATGAATTTCTTTCTTTGCAGTGGTTCTATGGCAATTTGTTCACCTCTAATTTTTTTTTTTTTTTTTTTGAGACAGTCTCGCTCTGTCGCCCAGGCTGGAGTGCAGTGGCGCGATCTCAGCTCACCGCAAGCTCCACCTCCCGGGTTCACACCATTCTCCTGCCTCAGCCTCCCGAGTAGCTGGGACTACAGGTGCCCGCCACCACGCCCGGCTAGTTTTTTGTATTTTTTAGTAGAGACAGGGTTTCACCATGTTAGCCAGGATGGTCTCGATCTCCTGACCTCATGATCTGCCCGTCTCGGCTTCCCAAAGTGTTGGGATTACAGGCCTGAGCCACCGCGCCCGGCCCTCTAATTTTTATAATCGTAGTTTAGGGTTGTGGCTAAAAGCACAAACTCTGGAACTAGACAGCTAGATGTATAATCTTGGGTATACTATTTGATTGCTGTGGTACTCTGTACCTCAATTTTCACCAGTTAAATGCAGATTTAGGGTGGGTGGTTGTGAGGATTAAAATGTACGGGCATACCTTAGAAAGGTGCCAAATATGGCTGGGTGTGGTGGCTCACACCTGTAATCCCAACACTTTGGAAGGCCAAGGCGAGTGGATCACAAGGTCAGATCAAGACCGCTCTGGCTAACACGGTGAAACCCTGTCTCTACTAAAAATACAAAAAATTAGCCGGGCACATGTGCCTGTAGTCCTAGCCACTCAGCAGTCTGAGACAGGAGAATTGGTTGAACCTGGGAGGCAGAGGTTGGAGTGAGCCAAGATCATGCCACTGCACTCCAGCCTGGGCCACAGAGCGAGACTCCGACTAAAAAAAAAAAAAAAAAAAAAAAAAAAAAATACATAGCAAACCTACTACATATATATAATGTTTGTTACTATAGTTATTGCTATCATTTATTCATACTTATCTTCCACTCCAGACCCCATGTATATCCAAACCCAGGATCTCCAATCCTATCGAAGTAACTGGTGCATAGGTTGTCTTTGAAAAATGTTGGTTGAATAAATGGGACACTGGCCCAGCCCTAGGACTGTAGTTAAACCCGGGCCCTGAGGGTCACATCTCCCTGATGCTGCATGAACTGTCTGGAACATATGGTACATACCTCTTGGACTGTCTGTCCAGAGTGAATCCGGAAGTTGACTGCAGCCTTGGCCACTGAGGGGATGACATTCACCTAGAGAGAGAAGCACAAAACCCTGGCCTGAGTCAACCTCAAATCTTCTACATCTGCCTGCCCAGGAAATGCTAATTTCCTCAGCTCAGGCAGAGCTGGCTGATTTGACTTAAGGACCCAAGGCTTAGCTTTTCTAGTCTGCCTCTTGTCTTCTCTGAGCTAAGTGACATGTGGTTATATTCAGAGCTGAAGGCGTGTCTCTGCTTTAAGCCAGACCTTTGTGCTTCTTGGTGCTGGAGGGGGTCACAGATATGTTCAGAGCAAGGCTGCTTTCTCTGATTGCCCAGATATCTCTGTTTTGGCCCCATGCTGTGCCATTAGAAGCCTTCTGCATGCACTTTCTTTCCCAGCACACCCAGGACATTTCTGCAGCTGTTAACATTAGTGCTTACTCACAACGGGGCAGCCAGAGCCTCTGTTGGCCCCCATCATGGCATAGCACGGGGCTCACATCAGGTTTGATGCTTGAGGGGGATGAGAAGAACACATACTCCTCACATATTCCTGGTCAGGCAGGAACAAAAGAGTGACAGAAAAGTAACCTTCAGAGTGAGAAAAGGACCCTAGTGCTGTCCAGTGCTCTGCCTATTCTTACCTATTCCCAGCCAGTGGCTGAGCCAAGACAGAGGGATCTGGCTTGTTCTCTACGGCTGTTAGTGTGTTTCTGAGACCCTAAGACCTAATATACCCTTTGGGAGCTGGTTCCCACTTATCCTTGAGGCTCCTGAGCAATTGTTCTAACCAATCAGATAAGCCAGTCAGGCAATAATTGCCTCCCCATTCCTGACCCTCTAGCAGGGATTGGTGGTTTTCCAGGTCCTGTTGTAAAATCTGACTTTTTTGCCTGACCAGGAGGAATCCAGGACTAATTGGAGAAAAGAATTAGGCTAGGGAGGGATTGTTCCTTGGAGGCCGGGAGACTCCCCAAGTGCATATGTTTCTTTGAACTCGTATGGTGCATAAAAGCACTAAGTTGTTAGGGACAGAACTGGGCTGTTGAAAATTAGCTGTTGCAACCTCTTTGTGCATCTGTTTTCTCAACTGGTTATTGGGGTAATACTCATAGGGCTCTTAGAAGGGTCAGATGGAGTAACAAAGTATCCTGGGGGGATGAAAACACCACTCAAATGTCAGGACACAGTGCTATTATTCTGATGAACACTACAGTTGACATACTGGACACTCCAGGAAGTTATGCCAGGAATTAATTCAGGGGCATCATTCACTTATATACCTGATTACTAGAGTGCTTCAAGGTCACATTGTACTCTAGGTGAATGGTGCCCCCTGAAGTTGTGCTGGTGGTACCAGCAGTTACAAGAATGGTCTAACTCCCTTCAAGATTTCAGAAAGGCCTATGTCTTTGCATGGCTAGGCTTGGATCCAGCTGACACACAGAGAAGGAAGGAAGGGCCAGTAGATAGAGCCAAGGAAGGGAGGAGTGGAAGGTGGTAGGGAAAAGCTGTATGGGGAGGAACCAGAGATGTTACCTTGATCCCTGCTTCGAATATGGTGAGTGCCGTGGTGGTCCTGATTATTGCATTGGTTAAGGGATTTTTCTCCATAAACCTAAAACAAAAGGACCAAGGTCAGATGTTAGAAAGAACCGATGGGGTGAAGGAAAGGGCAGAAACATTACCCACTTTCCTGAACCCTGGAGATCTTTAAGACTGAGAGAGACATCTTAGAGATGTCTTAAATATACACACTTAGAGATGCAGTGTCTGGTGGCTGAGGGATGATTAGTCAGGTCCAGTTAAGTCAAGGAGAGGGGCCTGGGGGGTGGGTAGGTTTGAGGTGAGGGATATGAAAGAAGGAAGGATAATACTTTACCTGGTTATAAGGGGTTCAAATAGCCGTGGGTTGCTCAGGATTTTATCGACAGGGAAGGGAAACTGGGAAAGAACAAGGTCAGCAGGATTTCCAAGGGGTCAGCACCACAGGGTCACCTCTACTTTAGCCTGGGTCTCTGAGACCTGGATGTCTCTCTACTTTAGAACTGCCTCAGGAGCCCTTAGCAGTCAGGAGTTCTGCTAAATTCAGTTAGCTCAATCCCTGCTAGAGGGTCAGGAATGGGGAGGCAATTACTGTCTGGCTGGCTTATCTGATTGGTTAGAACAATTGCTCAGCAGCCTCAAGGATAAGTGGGAACCAGCTCCCAAAGGGTATATTAGGTCTTAGGGTCTCAGAAACACACTAACAGCCATAGAGAACAAGTCAGATCCCTCTGTCTTGGCTCAGCCACTGGCTGGGAACAGGTGAGAATAGGCAGAGCACTGGGCAGCACTAGGGTCCTTTGCTTACTCTGTAGGTTACTTTTCTGTGACTCTTTTGTTCCTAGCTGACCAGTAGTATGTGATACTTCTTCCCATACCTCATCTGCCATTTGCCGCAATACCGTCACCAGTGTCCCACTTCCAAATATGATAGGCATTGGTGTCTGCTCCAGCCTGGAAGAGAAACAGAGTCCTCAAGACTTAGCGAACCCCAGCCAAAGATCAGTGACTTGAAGAGGAGAAGAAGGGAAATAGGAGGAAGTTTCAACACTCCTGGCCAAGAGGTCTCCCATTCACCTCCCTCCCACCTCCACCAACTCAACATTCTGAAGATCTCAAAACACCCGCAGAAGCTTTCCCTGTCTACCAAGTCGGCATTAGGGTCCTTCTTTCCTTCCTCTGCTGTTCTCTAGAATCTTGTGTGTCCACTCTCATAGTCCATCCCCTACTACAGCAGAATTGTCAGTCTCCTGACAGTCTGAATGAATATAGCACTCCTTCCCACTTTGCTAAGAAAACCCAGCCAGGGGTAAGCTCTGCTGTTACAGATTCTGCTGTTCTCATTCATAGCCAGTGGCTCTTATTTCTTTTTGTCCTCCTGCCAGGACAGGTGGAGAATTTCGACAGCTCTACCAGTCATTGCCAATTTGTGATTCTAAATGTCTGGACTCTGGACTACTCTAGTTGCCTGACCTAGCTTCTGCCTGTAGGTCCTTGCTTTCCATATGTATATACTGATAGATCCTCTTCTGACTCCAGCCCTTGCAGGATACTGGTGGCTCTGTCTCTCCTGTGTCTCCCTCAGCCCCCACCTTGGAAGGAATTCTCACTCCGTTTGAGATGACCCCAGTCTGGTATCTGTGAGCCATGCTGAAATAACTCTTTGTTTACACCTCTTGTATTAATCGCCTGGATCTTTAGTCTGTCCTGGGTTTCCCCTTCTGTTCTTCCTCTAGTGTCGATTTTTCAAAGCATAGCTTCCCAGCCCAACTTTAGGGCAGGAAGCTGAGCCTCCTCAAATTTAAAGTGGGAAAGTGCTAGGTCTTCCATCTTAAGTCTGGCATGGGAGCAGAGCCAGGAGTTGCTTACCGGCTGACAGCAGCTGCGAGGATGCCAATGCTCGTCTCCTTTGGAGGAGCTGAAGAGTGGCCTGAAGACATGTTTACTTGCAGCAAGAGGTTCATGGAACCCTTCTCTGAGACACCAATTCTGTAGAAGAGGATCGGAAACCACCCTCCTGACTTCTTGCCTCTCTGAATTCTCCCATAGGCCCATAGATCCATCTGTGCAATAGTCTAGTGGGCAAGGAGGTAGCTTCATGCAGTTTTAAAAATTTTATACTGGAGGAAGAATGGAGGGGGAAGCCTAGGAGAGGTTAAAGATTGGGGCGATTAATGCGAGAAGTGTAAACAAAGAGTTGTCTCAGCATGGCTCACAGATACCAGGCTGGCGTCATCTCAAATGGGGTGAGAATTCCTTCCAAGGTGGGGAGTGGGGTGCTTTACTCACAAGGCGATGGGCTTCTTGAAGTCGGGAATGAAATCATCCAAGATGAAGCCCCCCTCATCCACAACGAAGGCTAGCTGGACGCCCCTTGACTGTAGCAGGGCTGAGACCTTCTGAGCCCCTGTCCCTGACGACTGCAGACATGGAACACAGAGCTATAGTCCTTCTCAGTCAGAGACAGACCTCCAGACATAGCTAATGGGGACCCATTCAGCCTAGCTAGGGGCTCCAGAACCTTTCTACCTAGTCTCCTTCCTGGGAGCCAGGGCCCTAGAGAATTCTGCCTCACAGAATCCTGGAATGTCAGATCTGGAAAGGTCCACCCTCCCTTATTTCACAAATGAAGAAACTGGAGCCAAAAGAGTGAAGTGACTTGCCCAGAGTCTAATTAAGTAGCATCACTGGAAATAAAATGCAGTTATCGCTCTCCCTTTTCAGTTCTTTTTCCATCACACCTATGTTTCTCAGGGTATAGGTGATGGACCCCCTGCCTGCCTCAGATATTATGAAGGAGTTTGTTAAAAATTCAGATCTATGGCACAGGGCCCAGGAATCTGAATTTTGGTCAAGGTCCTTAGATAGTCCTGGCATACAGACACACAGAGAAGGTGGTAAACTACCATATCATGGAGACCTTGCCACTGTGGGCAAACTGGACTAGGGTTAAGCGCCCACTCCCCTACCCTCAACAGAGGACAGAGATAGGTATAAGATGAGGAGGTTCTACCTCCTCATCATGGCCCAGAGAAATGAAGAAAGATCTTCGGGGGATGTACTTCCTGATCAGCAGGAGCTCCAAGGCCTGCAGTAATGCCTGGGGTTCAGAAGCACAATGGAAGAGGAAAAAGACATTATTTAGGTGGGAGTACCAGGGTATCAGAGACACTCAGTTGCCTGTTATCAAGGATGGTGGGATAAGGATCTGATAGATTCTCTTGAAAGAGAACAGATTCAAATAATACAGGGGACCTGATGTGGAGAAACATAACCTTTACCACCTGGAGAAGAGTATAAACATATCAATGACAGGACTGAAAGGGTCCCTGGGGACCATTTAATCCCATTTACAGCTGAGAAATCAAGGCCCAGAGAAGGGAAGTGACAAACTGATGGCTGGAACCCAGGTCTCCTGGAGCCAAGGTTCTTTTTACCATTATCGTCCACCTGCCAGGGTCAGTGAAGCACCCCCATCCTGAATTGATCTTTAGGGCCCCAAGTCAGAGGGAACATTGCATCTCAGACCATCACAGAGTTTTTGTCGTCCAGTGTGCCCCGACCATAGATGGCGCCATCACGCTCCAACCCAGAGAATGGGGGCACTTCCCAGCCTTCCTCAGGGGCAGGCACCACATCAAAGTGAGCCATCAGCAGGTAGGGCTGCAAGCTGGGGTCCGAGCCTTTGATAGTGAACAGGTGGCTATACTCTTCCACAACTTCATGCTGGATAAAGCTGGTGCTGAGCACTGTAGGAAAGACTAGAGGCAAAAAGGGCAGTCAGAGAGAACCAGGGTTAACAGTTTCCTTAGGTTTTCCTACCATGTTGTGCTTCCTGTTCCTTTATTTACTTGTTTTTTTAAACATGCATCCTTCTTTAGGAAGCCTTCTAGGACAAAGCTAGTCTGATTCCTGATCTACCTGGACAATCTTTGAAATTCGTCTTCCCCATATTTCAATGTGCTATTACTATATAATAACATGCAAATCAAGACCCACCATTAAGGCCAGGCGCAGTGGCTCACGTCTACAATCCCAGCACTTTGGGAGGCCGAGGCAGGTGGATCACCTGAGTTCAGGAATTTGAGATTGGCCTGGCCAACATGGCGAAACTCCGTCTCTACTAAAAATACAAAAATCAGCCAGGTGTGGTGGCTCATGCCTGTAATCCCAGCTACCCAGGAGGCTGAGACAGGAGAATCACTTGAATCTGGGAGGCGGAGTTTGCAGTGAGCTGAGGTTGCGCCGTTGCACTCCAGCGTGGGTGATGAGAGCAAAACTCCATCTCAAAAAAAGAGACTCGGCCAGGCGTGGTGGCTCATGCCTGTAATCCCAGCACTTTGGGAGGCCGAGGCAGGTGGATCACTAGAGGTCAGGAGTTTGAAACCAGCCTGGCCCACATGGTGAAACTCTGTCTCTGTTTTTTGTAAAAATACAAAAAACAGCCGGGCGTGGTGGCGCGTGCTTGTAATCCCAGCAACTTGGTAGGCTGAGGCAGGAGAACTGCTTGAATCCAGGAGCTGGAGGTTGCAGTGAGCTGAGATCACACCACTGTACTCCAGCCTAGCCAAACACAGCAAGACTCATCTCAAAACAAAAAAAAGACTCACTATTAAGATGGTCAATATCTCAAGCTCAGGCTTGGTCAGACCCATAACATGCTATCACAGTACGTGTTAAAGGGCTATGCAGCATGAGGGATGCATTAAATTTTTGCCATAGGGGGCCTCTTAATCAAATTATATTAAATTATTATATTACATTAGAGGGCCCATTAACCAAATTATATTTAAATATTTATAAAAATCCAGGAGACCTTTTTCTTTTTTAAAAGCCACACATCTAGTGTATGTGTTATGTGAACATAAGATTATTCTGTTTAGCACAAAAGTCTTACTTCTGTGTGCAGGTGTAGATGTTTCTAGGGTCAATTATTCAAGCGCCTTAGCTCATAGGAGGGAAATAGATTTTCTTTCTCTTGGGGCTTTTGGAAGAATTCCACTATACTTCTGTGGATACCAAAAACTGAAGAAGATATATGGTTTATTCCTGTCACCTAGCTTATCTAGTTCACTAGTCACTATACTTTATTTTCCTGCGTTTATCTCCTATTTAGTAAAAGACTTCCAGCCTTTCCAGCCTGGCCTCAGCTTGGCTACTGGGCATTATCCCTGAGCCCACTCATTTTTGTTTTTCCCTTCTTTTTTTTTTTTTTTTCAGGACACAGTCTTGAATCTCACTTATGCTTGAGCACAGTGGCACATTCATAGCTCACTGTAGCCTTGAACTCCCGGACTCAAGCGATCCTCCCACCTCAGCCTCCTGTAACTAGGACTACAGGTGCGAGCGACCATGCATGGCTAATCCCAGAGCCATTTGTCTCAGGGTGTTAGAGAGGGGGCTACTTGCTGCTCCTAGACCAGCTTCTCCCACCTCCAACAACTTCGGAGGGGTTGTTTTTAATTAGATTTAGGAAGGTAATCTCACTACTCTCCATGAGATTTTCACAAGGAGAGGGAGGAGTTCCAAGAATCCTTTTTTCCTCTGACCCATGCGTCCTCAGTTCTGTACTCAATGGGTGGTGGGGATGAGGGAAAAGGACTGATGTTATAGCTCAAAGTTGTTGACTGCCTAGAAGCCTAGAAATGTGTTAGTAATGAATCTGGAGTAGGCCTGAGTACATGGAGTGTATGTGCACAGGTGTGTGGGGGTGTGTAAGGAGGTAGGTAGGGGTGGGAGGAGCATGGAACATAGTTCTGGGCAGTTGCATAAGTAGAAGGAAACGCTAATTCTACCTTTTGATGATTTAGCATTTATTGAATGACACATACGTAGGGCAAAGTTTGAGAGAGTTTACACTCTCACGCGATGGCTGGATGAACTCTCAATCTTTGCCCTACATATGGTGGCTTAGTCTTTCCAAGAGCAAATCTACAGTCTCTACTCTGTCCATGGGAATTAGATTGTCCTCTGATCAGTCGCAAAATAAACTCGTTATCACTTTGTAAAAGAACGGTGTCTCCATTGCTATTTCTACCACCCACCCCTTGCCCCTGATTTGCAGCTGACCTTTATAAATGTATTTTCCAAACTCAACCAGGGCTGTGGTATTGGCCTTCTCATAGCTAAAAGTCACTGTTGGAATCTGGATGGCACCTGTCAGAGTCAAATAGTGAGAGATGAAAGATTAAAAATGAATTAATCATTGTTTTTTTCTACAGTCCTCTGTGCATAAAAAGTTCTTTTGCATTTATTATCATATTGCAGAGGGCAAAACACTAATGTGAGGTAGGCGCTATTGTTTCCCCTAATTCGAAGATGAGGGAAAAAGCTTGGAGAGGTTAGGTGAGCTGTGTGAGCAACAGGCAGACTAGAGATTTAAACCCATGTCTTCTGGGTTTGTTAGGCTGATACGGTTCTTAAAGGCAAATACAGTCTAAGATTGGGGGGACGTGGATTTTTGGACCCTGGTCTTGAAGGGAAGCTACTATAAATTACTTTCTAAGGCCTCACTACCTGTGAAATCACCACTTCCTTTGATGAATCCAAGCTTCATCATTCTCAAGGCACCCACTGTCCTGGGTCCCTACATCAATGAGGCTTGTGTGTTTTTGTTTTTGTATGTAAAGGCTTATTCCTAATGTGGAGTCTCACTAGTCTGTCAACCAAGACCAGCTTTTTGGGCATATAATGCCCGGGAAGGGGTGGATTTAGAAGCCCCCAAACAAACTCCTCAGTCCTAAAATAATCTCATCCTCCTTACTCAGTTGTCTCAATTCCTGAAACTTCCCTGGGCTCCTCTCTTTGAGTCTTTAAGGCTTTACAGTTTTAAAGAGTTCCATGATCAAAGACAAACACCACTGGGAGGGAAAGCATGAGTCATGAGAATATTGAAGTAGACTGCTCTCCAAGAACACAGTGAGAACAAATTCACCTGAGGCAGGAAGGGTCTCTGAAAGACAAACTTCATCCGTTTTGCTAAGGATCAACGCTACAATAGCATAGCCCACCAGATAGATGGGGAAGCCGAGGTTCAGAAAGATTCAAGTGCCTACTCAAGGGCAGACCCAAGGATCTGAGCTCAGGTGTTCTGTCCCCTGCTCAGAGTTCTAAGCTGTATTGCCATAAGGTCCCTATTCTAGGTTCTTACATAGCTTTTGTTCTGTTCTGTGCAGACTGGGAGTGGCTGTCTAATGCCTTTTAGAGGACTATTTATGCTTTGGGAAAGCCCTGCTCTGCCTCCCAGGCCTGTCAGTCTAGCATATGAACAATCTACGTCCAACCATTGGGGTTAGCTTTTGGTCCCTGCATCTGCTTCTATATGTTTATGCAGGCAGTCTCTCTTAATCCATTACTTAATGAAAGGGAAAAGACTGGAGCTAAGCTGAATGGTAAAGAAGGATTTCATCCCATAGGATCTAGCACTCTGAACAGAAACTTTCCTGTTTCCTGGAAAATGCAGATTCAGAATGGGAATGAGTTTTTGGTCTGGATTAGAGATCTAGGGGAGACATATTCTTCAATTAGGACTGAGAATTAGGAACATCCCATACCCCAGGAACACTCCACTCCCTTTCTTTAGAGCCACCTGATCCCAGCGAGTCGGGCACTAGATACTGAGACCCACTGCCCACTCTTTGCTGTGGGGCCCTGGGGAAGATCATTTAGCTGACCTAAGCCTCAATTTCTCTCCTTTGTAGATAAGACTAATATCATTTGTCTTATTTTACGACACCGCAGTAATTTATCAGGCATGCAAACTTTCAAAGGTTAAAAGTGATGTACAAATGAAAGTTCGTGTAATACACGAGGCAAGCAGGGGAAAGAGTGGACGGTGGTCACGCCAAGAGGGGTGAAGTTGAAGTTTCCAGGTTAAGCAGGGCACACCAGAGTTCCAGGAGGCAGGGATGGGGGAAGTGTGACGTCCCCAGGCCGGGGCACGATGTGCTGGGAAGGGTGCTGGGGCCAGGCTGGGGTGCGTGTCGGGGCTCCGGCTGCAGTAGCTGATGCTTTGCGGCGGAAGCGGGGAGTCACGGGTTGACCTGGGGAGGGAAGGACCGACATCTGAGTATAGATGGGTGAAGGGGACCAGGGTTCACCTTTCAGCGCCTCTTTCATCGCGACGCGCTCCTCTTTGCTGAACTCAGCAGGGATTCGCGACGCCCTCTGATGCTCGTCGCTTCTCAGGCCCATCGATCTGGAGACGGTGGCGAAAACTAGGAGCAGCATAGCCGCCAGGGCCAGCACGCAAAGGCACCGCTGAGCCATGCTTCTCTCGAGCTCCTGCTGTCAGGCTGCCGGAGGAGTTCTGACCTAAACGCCTGGACTAGCGTTTCTGGGTCCTGGCTCTGTTCTTATCCCCGCAAACAGCCTTAGCCACACCCCATCTCCAGATCTGACCAGTCATCGATTCGCTAGGACTGCGGAACACCCAATCGACAGAATGACCCCGCCCAGGACCCTTAAGGTCTTTCGGGGATTGTGGTTTTTCGTGCTGAGGCCAGCAGATACAGTAGAGCACAGGTGAGGTCGGGCTCCAGGCTAGAGTCAGGTCTGGTCTGCACTTGATCTCTCACCCATAAATCCCTTCCTGTATGACAACAAATCAAATAAAGGAGGAAAAGCAAAATAAAACGCACGAAACTTATCAGACCATACTCTGCTGCTCCCTTTTTCCGAAGCTTAGGACCTGACCACCATTCCCTAGGTTCTGGCGGGGAGCTCTCTAGGTTTCCAGCCTGATTTCATCTAAAATTGGAACAAATTGCTCTGTTTGTAGATACTGCTTTGAAATACCAGCTCAGAGGGTTGGCTCCTGTTTAGAAATTTTATTGAAAGTGCTTTTAATATTAATGTTAACACGACATTTTTGCAACTCTAAACAGGTACAGTAAGACTGAAGGATTTTTAGAAAGATTACTATAAAATATTTAAGAGAATTTTGATGTATAAAGAATTTTGATGTATTCAACCAAGTGAAATTTTATGGTTATTCAGAGTGGAGGATCTTTCTGGAAAAAAGAAAACCTGTCTTATGTCACAGAAATATAAAATTAGATTTCTTGAAGCCAGAAGAAACTGTTCCTTCCAGATTTCTTGATGCAATTTTATCTGGCACCACTCTCAAATTTTAGAATTCTCAAGAAAAATTCAGTAAGTGCTATACAGTCAGTAAGGTCATATTGCTACCTGTGACCAAAGCTACAAATTCACACTCCTGGCGTTTGCATTTCATTTAAGATTTGCTTAAAACAAACAAACAAACAAAACTTCAGCCATGTAGTTACTTTTCTTTTCCTTTTTTCTTTTCTTTTTTTTTTTTGAGAGGAAGTTTTCTCTCCTGTTGCCCAGGTTGGAGTGCAATGGGGCGATCTCGGCTCACGGCAACCTCCGCCTCCCAGTTTCAAGCAATTCTCTGGCCTCAGCCTCCCAAGTAGCTGGGATTACAGGCATGCACCACCGCGCCTGGCTAATTTTGTATTTTTAGTAGAGATGGGGTTTCTCCATGTTGGTCAGGCTGGTCTCGGACTCCTGACCTCAGGTGATCTGCCCGCCTGGGCCTCCCAAAGTGCTGGAATTACAGGCGTCAGCCACCTCGCCCTGCCTAGTTACTTTTTAATAGCAACTTTAAAACAGTATCATTAAATACTTCACATATTATAAAGATATAAAGAATAGCATAATGAACATTTCTGGATTCACCACCTAGTTTAAGATTTAGAATGTTAAAAATAGAGTTGAAATTTAAACACGAACATTGATAGAATTTTTAGTAAAAAGTAGCTTAATCTCTACCAAACTTTAAAAATTTTTTAAAAGAGACTTTTTGTTTATGTATTTATTATTTTTTAAAATTATTATTATTTTTGTAGAGATAGGGTTTCACTATTTTGCCCAGGCTGCTCTTGAACTCCAGGACTCAAGCTTTTTCCCTCATCTTTGAATTAGGGGAAACAATAGCGCCTACCTCACATTAGTGTTTTGCCCTCTGCAATATGATAATAAATGCAAAAGAACTTTTTATGCACAGAAGATTGTAGAAAAAAATGATTAATTCACTTTTAATCTTTCATCTCTCACTATTTGACTCTGACAGGTGCCATCCAGATTCCAACAGTGTCTTTTGGCTCTGAGAAGTCCAGTACCACAACCCTGGTTGAGTTTGGAAAATACATTTATGAAGGTCAGCTGCAAATCAGGGGCAAGGGGTGGGTGGTAGAAATAGCAATGGAGACACCGTTCTTTTACAAAGTGATAACGAGTTTATTTTGCGACTGATCAGAGGACAATCTAATTCCCATGGACAGAGTAGAGACTGTAGATTTGCTCTTGGAAAGACTAAGCCACCATATGTAGGGCAAAGATTGAGAGTTCATCCAGCCATCGCGTGAGAGTGTAAACTCTCTCAAACTTTGCCCTACGTATGTGTCATTCAATAAATGCTAAATCATCAAAAGGTAGAACTAGGGTTTCCTTCTACTTGTGCAACTGCCCAGAACTATGTTTCATGCTCCTCCCACCCCTACCTACCTCCTTACACACCCCCACACACCTGTGCACATACACTCCATGTACTCAGGCCTACTCCAGATTCATTACTAACACATTTCTAGGCTTCTAGGCAGTCAACAGCTTTGAGCTATAACATCAGTCCTTTTCCCTCATCCCCACCACCCATTGAGTACAGAACTGAGGACGCATGGGTCAGAGGAAAAAAGGAATCTTGGAACTCCTCCCTCTCCTTGTGAAAATCTCATGGAGAGTAGTGAGATTACCTTCCTAAATCTAATTAAAAACAACCCCTCCGAAGTTGTTGGAGGTGGGAGAAGCTGGTCTAGGAGCAGCAAGTAGCCCCCTCTCTAACACCCTGAGACAAATGGCTCTGGGATTAGCCATGCATGGTCGCTCGCACCTGTAGTCCTAGTTACAGGAGGCTGAGGTGGGAGGATCGCTTGAGTCCGGGAGTTCAAGGCTACAGTGAGCTATGAATGTGCCACTGTGCTCAAGCATAAGTGAGAGTTCAAGACCTTGTCTCTGGAAAAAAAGAAGAAGAAGAAGGAAAAAACAAAAATGAGTGGCTCAGGGATTAATGCCCAGTAGCCAAGCTGAGGCCAGGCTGGAAAGGCTGGAAGTCTTTACTAAATAGGAGATAAACGCAGGAAAATAAAAGTATAGTGACAGTGAACTAGATAAGCTAGGTGACAGGATAAAACCATATTCTTCTTCAGTTTTTGGGTATCCACAGAAGTATATGTGAATTCTTCCAAAAAGCCCAGAGAGAGAGAGAAAATCTATTTCTCCTATGTAGCTAAGGTCGCTTGAATAATTGACCCTAGGAACATCTACACCTGCACACAGAAGTAAGACTTTGTGCTAAACAGAATAATCTTTATGTTCACATAACACATACACTAGATGTGTGGCTTTTTAAAAAGAAAAAGGTCTCTGGATTTTTAGTATAATATTTAAATATAATTTGGTTAATGGGGCCTACTAATTTAACATAATAATTTAATATAATTTGATTAATGAGGCCTCCTATGGTCAAAATTTAATGCATCCCTCATCTGCATAGCCCTTTAACACGTACTTGTGATAGCATGTTATGGGTCTGACCAAGCCTGAGCTTGAGATATTGACCATCTTAATAGTGAGTCCTTTTTTTTTGAGATGGAGTTTTGCTCTTTTCACCCATGCTGGAGTGCAATGAACTTAAACTATGCCCTAGAATAAATGTACTTAACTGGTATTTACAGACCATTCTACCTAACAATTCAGAATATACATTTTTTTTCATCAACACATGGAATATTCTCCAAGATAGACCATTTGATCGGCCACAAAACAAATCTCAATAAATTTAAGAAAATCAAAATTATATCAAATACTCTCTCAGGCTACAGTGGAATAAAATTGGAAATTAGCTCTAAAAGGAACCCCCAAAACTATACAAATATGTGGAAATTAAATAATCTGCTCCTGAATGATCTTTGGATCAACAATGAAATAAAAATGGAAATTAAAAAATTCTTTGAACTGAATGATAATAGTGACAGAACATGTTAAAACCTCTTGGATACAGCAAAAGCGATGCTAAGAGGAAAGTTCATAGCATTAAATGCCTACATCAAAAATGTGAAAGAACACAAATAGACAACCTAAGATCACACTTCAAGGAACTAGAGAAACAAGAACAAACCAAACCCAAACCCAGCAGAAGATAAGAAATAGCAAAAGTCAGAGCAGAACTAAATGAAATTGAAACAAACAAACAAAAAAGGTACAAAAGATAAATGAAACAAAAAGATAGTTCTTTGAAAAGATAAACAAAATTGATAGACCATTAGTGAGATTAACCAAGAACAGAGAGAAGATCCACATAAGCTCAATTAGAAACGAAACAGAAGATATTACAACTGATACCATAGAAACACAAAAGATCATTCAAGGCTACTATGAACACCTTTATGCACACAAACTAGAAAAGCTAGAAGAGATGGATAAATTCCTGGGAATATACAACACTCCTAGGTTAAACTGGGAATAAATAGAAACTCTGAACAGACCAATAACAAGTAGTGAGATTGAAATGTTAATTAAAAAATTGCCAACAAAACAAAGCCCAGGATCAGATGAATTCACAACTGCATTCTATCAGGCATTCAAAGAAGAATTGGTACCAATCTTACTGAAACTATTCCATAAGATAGAGAAAGACGGAATCCTCCCTAAATCATTCTACGAAGTCAGTATCACCCTAATACCAAAACAAGAAAAGGACATAACAAAAAAAGAAAACTACAGACCAATATCCCTGATGAACATAGATGTGAAAATCCTCAATAAAATACTAGCTAACTGAATCCAACAACATATCAAAAAGGTAATACACCATGATCAAGTGGGTTTCATGCCAGAAATGCAGGGATGGTTTAACATACACAAGTCAATAAATATAATACATCTCATAAGATAATTAAGAACAAAAATTATATAATCATCTCAATGGATGCAGAAACAGCATTTGACAAAATCCAGCATCACTTTATGTTGAAAACCATCAGCAAAGTCAGTATAGAAGGGACATGACTCAAGGCAATAAAAGCCATCTATGAAAAACCCACAGCTGATGTTACAGTGAATGGGGAAAAGTGGAAAGCATTCCCTGTGAGAACTGGAACAAGAAAAGGATGCCTACTTTCACCAATGCTATTCAATATTGTACTGGAAGTCCTAGCCAGAGTAATCAGACTAGAGAAAGAAATAAAGGACATCCAAATTGCAAAATAGAAAGTCAAATTGTCACTATTCACTGATATAATGACATGATATGATGA